AATTTTCGCGATTTGAAGTTTGAAATTCTCGGAAATCCAATCCTTGAAATTTCAGATAGCCTAGCGAAACAATAACAAGTTAACCGCCGCGCCAGCGTGACCGCTCTCAGGTTGCTTTCTGATTGTTTATTTCTCTCGTTTATCTCTCTCGCGTTTATCTCTCTCCCGCCCGTTTGGAAAGAGAAAGATGCACTCTGTACTGGTGCAAGTGGAGCAGCAGGCTGAAAAGAACAGACTCCATCGATGCCTGTAGTGTGAGACTTCTGTACTCTTTCCTCAGTGCTTTCGAAGTGGAGACTATTGTAAACAAGACGCTGCGGACTGCACACGGGGGAAATGAGGAGTAATTAACGAATAATTTGAACTCGATTTATGAGACAAAGTTCCCTCAGAGACGAGTCGTTTCTCCGCGATCTGATCGATTTCTTTGTATTTAGCTCAACTCTGTGGAGTGGAAAGTCGGCGGAGATAGGCGCGAGATTGCGCGAGGTCTCGCCTCACAACTTCCAGGCGACACAGTTAAAGCTTCGTGGCGAGGTAAGTTTCTGGAATATAATATTATCTCACGGCCATCCCGCCGGACGGGCATCCGGCGCCGGTTCTTTAAATCTCGATTAAAGCTGCAGAGTATGTGTCTGAATCTGTTAAGCTTTTTGTTCAAATAGATTTTTTATGACAGTCGTAGTTTGTGATATCGCGCGAAAGGCGGAAATCTTTTCGTTATTAAGTAACAATCAGTTTAGATTTCAGGTGGAAACCATTCATCGCCGGTTTAAACGGATCACTTGGTTAAGATGCGGGTATAACCTCGTGGTTCCGTCTCCGTACTTCCGAAAAGATTTGTCGTAGGCAGTCAGTCGCGCAGTGTGTATTTACCAAGAGCGCAAGATGGATCAGATGCTTCCAAGTCCTGGCTTCAGCATACCCAGCATCGGCACACCTCTGCACCAGCCAGAGGAGGATCAGCTGATCTTGCCGAACGCCATGCAGCAGCAGCAGCAGTCGCAGCAGTTCCAGCAGCTGCACTCGATGAGCCCCAACATGCAGAGCGGCATGCTGATGATCACGCCACAGAAGAACATGCACACATACGCCCCGACGCCAACGTTTGCGACGCCGCAGAGTCTTATGCAGCCGCAAACGCCGGTAATTCAATGTCGAATTTAGTGTCGCGTACGCCTGGCTGCGATCCTGCGGCGAAATGTGAGGTTCGAGACACCGATGGTATTAACTTTGAATACCAGAGACTTGCTAATTGGGAAGGGCGAACGTTAAAAGCTTGGGAGCATAACAGGAAAAAGATATATTCTAAACGTATTGGTGTATTGAGTTCAGTGTTTCAATATCGCTTCTCTTTCTCTGATTCTTCAGCAAAATATGATGTCTCCAATAGTACCGCAAAATAGTCAAATAGCGCCGCCATCGATAGGCCCCGCGACCCCTGGGCCAATGACACCGATGACCCCAGCTTCCGCAGATCCTGGAATATTACCACAGTTACAGTAAGTTCGCAAAGAAGTCTGTAAAGAAATGTCTGTCCTCGATTTTGCTTCATATGTTTCGCTTTATTTTAGGAATATTGTGTCTACCGTTAACTTAAATTGCAAGCTTGACTTGAAGAAAATAGCGCTCCACGCTAGAAACGCCGAGTATAACCCAAAAAGGTTCGCGGCTGTTATCATGCGAATAAGAGAACCAAGGACCACCGCGCTGATATTCAGTAGCGGCAAAATGGTTTGTACCGGCGCCAAGAGTGAGGGTGATTCGCGTCTTGCGGCCCGAAAGTATGCGAGAATTATTCAGAAGTTAGGTTTTCCTGTAAGTGTCGTCGATTCGCTCCCCTCGTTAAAATGTCACGCAAAACAAATTATTTTTCATAATTGAAATCTGTTCTTTAGTAATTAATATTACGATTTTATTTGATTTAGGCAAAGTTCCTAGATTTTAAAATCCAAAATATGGTTGGCAGCTGTGATGTTAAGTTTCCAATTAGATTAGAGGGTTTAGTGCTTTCTCACGGACAATTCTCATCGTACGAGCCAGAGTTATTTCCAGGTCTAATATATAGGATGGTCAAACCTCGAATTGTATTGCTCATATTCGTCTCAGGGAAAGTAGTATTGACGGGTGAGTATCCTTTCTGTTCTACAGTCGTTTTATTGTAAAGTATACGTGTTGCAAGACATTGTGAGAATATAGAGGCTTGATTTTTTTACAATCTGCAAAAGCAACACATTCCTGGATAAAAGATTGGAGATTATGTGTGTTTGTACCCAAAACATGTATTACATATTTATATCTATATATCGTCAGGTGCAAAGGTTCGCAAGGAAATTTATGAAGCCTTCGACAACATCTATCCAATATTGAAGAGCTTTAAAAAGCAGTGATTCTCTACGTAGCGTTATTTTTTTAAATAATTTAATATAATTGTTTCCGACCAATTCCATTTCTAATACAGTATAGTTATTTTGTAATATAAAATCTCAGTGATGAAGAAACTTAATAGTTTGCTATCGTTTAATCAGTTGAGTTACAGCGTTAAACATCCCTTTGATTATTTTCAATATACGAAACGTCTCAGATTAGATATTCTACTTACTGCAAATCTGTTTTAGCTTATATTAAATCGATATTTTCTTATTGAAAAACTTGATATATACACATAACGTTTGATTAATGGGCATAATTTTTTGTTAACCAAACTTTGAGAGAAAAAATAGATAAGAAAATATTACCGTTCAGTTATGTATTTTTTTTGGCTTTACTTAAAAATAGATATATATGTAACATATACATTTATTAATTAATTAAAGAAGCTATGGTTGGAATAACCAGTGATTTTGGGACACGATACATTCTAAACTAATTGTCTCTCATTTGTTAGATAACTACTATAATTTATGTCTATTCTCATCTATTTATAGGAAATGTTAATTGTTTCGATATGTAAAAAGCAAATAGCGTGAAGGTACAACTTGTTCAATCTTATGATAATTTTGTTTCGGTTTAATGAATCAGTTGATCAATTGATGACAAGAAAAAATTCTAAGCGTACGGATACACCAATTGCATGTACATTGTAACCAGAAGTTTCTGAACCTTCCCCTTTTGCCTTCCTTAAAGATAATAATAGTGCATATAATTCTGTATTTATAAAATAGTGTCTTCTAGTAATGCAGTGCCTCAATTAAGATTACATGAATGAACAGTGCGTATGCTTCAATTTTAACTCTTAACAGGTACTATGAGTTTTCTTAAGCAACATAACAAAACCGCCATAATTATGTAATAGAATCTGTAAAATAAACAATATATTAATAGGTTTGTCAATTACATGATTGTTTGTGATTATAATAGTACGATATTTAATGTTTCATCAACTATTCTTTTAATTTGAATTTCTTTACAATATTACACACACGCGTATTATAAATAGACACCTGAATGAAATTCATAGCATCTATTAAGAGATAATTAATGTCATATACCTGTATGTGCACTTGGAAAATTATTGTAATACCATCAAATTTCAGTTTGATTGTCGCTTATTAAAATTAATTTAATATACAAATATCTTCTTTTTTCAATAACGTATTACACTCAACATATATGTATCTGTTTTCGTACCAATTTCGTTTACTATAAAATTTATTCACTATATCAGAAAATTCTTGAAATATAAACAATTCCCTTATGTTGTGGAATTGTACAAGACCAGGAGTTACTTTCAATTTTTGAGAAACATACTTGGAAAAAATAACATTTTTTGGTTACCTTTAAATACTTGCAGAGCATACTTGACTTACTAAGAGGCTTAATATTTTTATACGTCCATTCTAAATGTGTATATAAGAGAAAAATTCACAACAAGATTTTCAAATACATAAGCTAGAATTTGTATGATTATTGATATTGTATTATTTGTTGCACATGACATGTGTTTGATTGTGTAATAAAATTATGTATGTATTATACAATTAAAATACTACTTATTCTTCGATTTTGACAGACTCAATAAAATGCTCGGTAGAAAATATAACAATCTGATAAATATTATACCCAATAAATAAGTGATTTGTTATATTACCTCTATTTGATATATACATATACTTAATTATAGAAACCACGAGTACATTATACATTCCCATAAGAATAATTACACATCACAATAATTCTCAAAAATCTCAATGCAAATCTAAAAAAAAGTGATAGATTAAAATTATAGTTTACAATTTTGATTTTAATTTATCTCGCAATATTCGACGTAGTATTTTACCAGACGGAGTCTTTGGAATGCTATCTATAAATCTTACACCGCCCCTAAGTCGCTTAGGATTTGATACACGTTCTGAAACAAAAATAGAAATATAGAATGATATACACAATATTGATAAGTTATTTAGCTTCGAAGATTTTGAAGAACAACGAGAGATTTCCAATTACTGAGAGAAGTGTAATGAAAACATTTTATTCTTTCTAGTGTTATTAGGTTAGTTCTATAGTTCCATTATAGATAAAATATATACGATAAACATTCTTACCATTAACATATTGGATTATATCTCCTTCACAAATGTTGAAATTATCTTGTTTTACAACGAAAGCCATTGGTAATTCCCCAGTTTTATCATCCGATATGCCAATTACAGCCGCATCTTGTATGCCAGGACAAGTTAATAAAATCGCTTCGAGCTCAGCTGGCGGAACCTGGTAGCCTTTGTATTTGATGAGTTCCTTTATCCGATCGACAATGTAAAAGTATCCATCTTCGTCATAGTATCCCACATCCCCCGTATGCAACCAACCGTCCTTATCAATTGCCGCTCTGGTAGATTTTTCATCGTTATAGTAGCCTTTCATTATTAAATCTCCTTTGAAGCACAATTCTCCTGTGCAGTTTGGCCCTAAAGCTTTATCCGTTTCGTGTTCTCCAATTGGTATTACCTTCGCTGAAAGAAAATATCAAAGTTATTGCCAGAATCCGACAAAATATTAGCTATATTGATAGAAAATGCAAAAGTGTGTAATAACAGATATTAATTTGTCATGCTTTAAGGGAGACATTGTCTTCTTAATCCAGAAATCGTTACCTGATATGCCAGGAACTACTATGCCAACACTGCCTAGTTTTATCTTATCATTTGGAGATCTTAGCACAGCCAAAGTGGTTTCTGTTAATCCATAGCCTTGTTTAACTTCAGTAATATTTAATCGCTTAGCGACAGCCTCCTGAATTTCCTTCGACAGCGGAGCTGCTCCACTCCTAATTAAACTACTTTGTAGCAATTTGCAAAACAAGCTTATCTAGTAGAAGATATACATATTTATGTAACTCTACAAGTCTTCATAGCTCATTGCATAGAAATTGTGTTGTATTAAAAGAAGACTACTCTAAGACAACTTGCTTCATGTTACTAAATTTCTGTTTATAAATTTGTTAAATTAAAAAAGTTTCACTTAATCACTGAAGCGATGATTTTGCAGACTTCAAACAGAAAAATATTTAAACTTTAGACCTGTATCTTTTATGCAAGAGTAATTTACACAATTTAACATAACAGAAATAAATTACATTTCACACAAGTGTTAAAGGGACTATTTTTTATCTTTCACTAATCTTTAGAATCTTCTGTTGTCTGAATCTCAGTTTATGAATTTACTATTTAAAAAATCTGATTAACTTCATCTACTCTCTTTACTTTTAAATTTGCGAATTGCAGCAACTTTCTTCCAAGATTTCTTCCAAACATTTCACATCTGACTTGTAATAGCTTACCACACTCCCTGAACAGAGGATAAATCGTATTTATCCACAAGTGGGTGTTTCGCCAGGAACACCATAAGCGACGGCACCACGGGTAAGTATTGAATTTTATATTTCTCCACGCATTGTAGGAACAGCTCCTCGTCGAAGCGCGAGATCACGACGGTGCAGTACCCGCTTAGCAAACCGATTATCAGCAAGACGAAGGAATACGAGTGAAAGAATGGAAGTAGCGACAGAGAGATGCCGTTCTGGGGAATCGCGTTGTTGCTAATGTATATGCGTATGACTGTGGTAAGATTTTTGTCCGTCAACATAACGCCTTTCGGCAGTCCCGTGGTTCCGCTCGAGCATAAAATTGCCATTACATGATTGTCCACGTCGACGGGAACCGCTTGCAGCGCATTCGCGTTGTCATCGGAGACGCTTGATATCGCTTTGTGCATGCTCGGCCACGACACATCGCTGCCGTGTTCGGTGAGCATCAGTACTCTCGGCGACCAGGACAACTCCCTGAATACCCTCCTCATGCTGTTATGCGCTACCGGCGAGATAAAGATAAACTTTGGCCTGGAAATGGCGAGTGCGTGCTTGAACTCCCCTATGGAATACAGTGGATTTAACGGGCAGGCGGCAGCGCCCAAGTAAGCTGCGGCGCACACCGGAATACAAAACTCCAGGTTGTTCTCGCTGCACACGGCAATGGTGTCGTTTGGCCTCAGTCCTTCTCTCTGCAGCCAAACCGCCAATTTCCGGCTTTTGTCTAAGATATGTTGGAATGTTTGCTCCTCGCCGGTGTGGGGGTTTATCTGTAAAAAAATTCACAGCTGCTGCAGTCGAAGGTTACACAAGTGTGCAGCAAAGGCAAATCTAGATTCTCAATTATTTCCCAGGTCGTGTATCAATCTAAGCCCTGTGTTCTGCAAGATTCCGGCTCTATGGGCTCTTTCCTCATTTCGCTCTTTGATTTTTCTCCCTCTTGTTCTACGGTGCTGCATGAACTTGCAGAGATGCAGAGCATCTGTCGACGTACGTAAATTGTACAGGCCATTGTACAATTGCGTAAACGTAGTTGTAGGATTGTAGGAGTAGAAGTAGTAGTAGGTGTTTTACATCAAAGTAATATACAATAAAGTAAGGTACGTCGTAATTGAAGTGAATGATTGGCTAGCTTTTACGTCCTACATTGCAGTCGTGAAAGACGAAGTTCAGCCCTTTTTTACAACAGACTTCACAGTCGGAAATGCTAGTTTAAAACTGTGTTTCGCAACACTGTGCAGCCGATAACAACCGCGTTTACGCAATTGTAGAATGGATCCTCGAAGGATCAGCGAATCAATCGCGAACTCACCTGCGCCACGCGAGAGCCATGCGTCGCCAGTTGCATCAACAACAATTCTCCTACTGAGAAATTGAGTTCCGCAATCACTTCGCCCTCGCCGTGCAAAATATTTGATTGCTGCGGCATGTTGGAGACGAGAAGAATCGACGCCGGGTTACCTCAAGTCGTCCGAGTCTCCTCGACGAGATGTTCGAGAGAATTGCAATATCACGCGCTTCGAGGGAGTATTTACATAATGACGGAGCAGACGAGCGGGGAGTAGTATTATCACACTCGGTCTCTTATCATTTTCTGCTTACAGCACGAGCTTTGATCGATAGTGCCCACATCTCCCGCCTCTTCGAGGTGAGGTAATTACGGGCGTTTAGAAAAAAAGCCGGCAGTTTCGCCGCTTCGCCGTTAGACGGCAGCACGCGCGCTATTTTCGATTTAAATACGGGCGATCGTGTACCCGAGGGTTACGCTAGATGGCGCTAGTCGCTTCAAAAGGCGCGCTCGATTGAATAGTGAACTTGTGTCGAATAAACCTGTGCCTGCTGAGGCCCGGTTTCACCGAGCGTCGCCTAACTTTAATCTTGGACTCGTATTCGTAGCCGGATCCTTATATTTGAGGCCGTCTTGAATTTATCTAAAGATGCTGTATGAAACATTTCATTGGCTACGGAGTATGTAAAGATGATATTAAGACGGTCTTGAATGTAAGATCTGACTATGAATACCGGGCTTAGTTTAATTCGCGTTTGCCTCTTTCTAAAGTAACAGTTGGGAAGAGACAAGGAACGAATTAAACTAAGCTTGAAGTTAAGCGACGTTGGTGAAACCAGGCCTGACTGTACTTCTTGTTTTCTTTAATAAACACAAAAATTCGATCGAATATCCAATTCAAACTCTCGGCTGTTAATTCAGTCGGTAGAATTGTTCAGAGGAACATTTCTATGCAATTGAATTGGTTAGAACAGAAAGAGTACATGTGACAGTCGTATATGTATTTGAGGACAAAACTTTTACAAATATAATAAAAATTTTGCAGTAGATTTTACGCTGCTTTGCCTTAAAGAGAGGGTCCCTTAAAATAAGTTTTCAATTAAAAAATTTTGTAATCATTTGGTTTTACGCTGGAGCGAGTCAATTCAATTTTGGCCAAAATGTCACATGTCCGCCTTCTGTTTTCACCGATTCAATTGTTTTCGATTTTATCTGTCACGCAATAAAAAAGTTAAATGGCACGATCGACAGTACAGTGTTTAATAAGTTGATCGGCGATTAATTAATTCACTCGGCAGAATTGTCTAAAGGAACATTTTTTGTACATCGTCTCTGATTTAATAGACGACGATAATAATAATTTAACAATAATCTTTCTATACGTCAAACAATAAAAAAAAATGACTAATACTATTCATGATAACAAAACAGTACAAGTGTCGCTCGAATAAAAATAATTTTATTCGCCACTTAAGCTAATCGGAGTTTGATCGAAACCACCCTAAGGCTGTACATACAATTTTTTATATCTTGTATAAATAAAAAGAAAATGAAATATAAATAAGCCGAGATACAATCTATTCTTTATTTTAAATCCTCTTCTGCAAACTCGGGAATTGATGATCACCTGCGTAATATGGATAGAGAAATCAGGTGTATAATACAAGGAGTGTCACGTTGCTGCGTTTTCCATATTAGACTTATGACTAATTGATTTTACTGTGCGTACGCACTGTGCGATTTTATGCAAATCCATTTGGACAAGATTCGAAGAGTAAAGGAATATTTTCGAAGGCCGGCATTAATTTTTATCCTTACGTTCTTTATGCAGACGTATGAGACCATTCGACCGAGTCATTGTAAAAAGAGATCCTTTTGTATGATACAAAAAGGTAAGGAAAACGGATAAAAAATTAAAAATAGGTTTGCAATTGCAGACCGTTGAAGATCTCGAATAAACTGACGAATATCTGTAACTTGAAATAAAATTCAGAAGCCTGTCTCATAATAGGAGACTTTCCTTTATAAAATTCAGAGGCGATTAAAACGATACACTTGATATTTAACAAAATTTCAATAGATAATGTATCTCGATAACGAATGTTCTTTTATTGTGTTTACTATAGTTGTTTCTTTCTAAGGCCCAGTTTCACCAAACGTCGTGTAACTTTAATCTTAGATTAATTCACGTTTGTTTCTTTCTGAAGTAACAGCTGGAAAGAGACAAGGAACGAATTAAGCTAAGCTTAAAGTTAAGCGACGTGAAACCGGGCCTTAAAGATTTCACCGAGAAGTATGCCTTTTTATTTTAGATGTCTCAATTTGTTCTACGAAAAAGTTTAATAAGAATAATCACACAAAGAACGATGTCGGTTTTGTTTCATGTGCGATCGCGTGTATAAGCTTTTCTCCCTTTTTTTTGTAAAGAGAAGCAGGCACCCACAATTTCTTTATTGTAAGCGATAGGTTTCTCGATCTAAGAATTCTAAAAATTCTTTTTTAATTAATCACGAGTTATTAAACAATTTATGATTGTGTCGCGACGTTCAAGAAATAACCAACGATTAAAATATGCTTCAATGTTAAAGTTAAAATCATTTAGCCCATCGAAGCATTTCGCGACAGATATTCACGAGGGAAAAGGGAATACCTTTTTTAAACACAAGGGGCAAATTTAACAATTTAAATATTCTTCGTCAAGATAGGAAACTAATTTTTTGCACTTGTAAAAGTAATTCTTCTCGTATCTCTTGAATAACGCAAAGAATATTTTAAACATTTCTATTGCGGCACACACAATATTTAAATTATTTAAATGTGCTTTAGCATCGAAATACATCCCGTTGCCTTTTACGTAAATAATTGCACATCTGCGATTTGTTTGCGAAGTTAAACTACGGATGATCTTTTTATGACAAATTTGATGCACTAGTGCGCATTAGTGTGTTCACTGAAGGCTGTCATACACAAAGCGGCACAAAAATTAATATACAGGGTGCTACGCAAGACTTTGACGTCCGGTCATGGGAAGGTAGAGGGGACTAAGACAAACAGAAAAGTATTGTATTATTTT